AAAAAAAAAAAAAAAAAAGCGAGAGGAAGAAAAAGAGGGTGGTGGAAAAGTGCATCTCCGAGTGCTGTCCTGGTGTCTGTCTCATATAAACACAAACACGCACACACAGCTTCGACATCTCTCCTTCAATCACAACAGAGGCCGTCTGTCTGTATGACTGGTGTGCTCTTTGAATAATGGAGCCAATATGAAGCGAGTCACTGAGAAGATTTGGTCGTCTGATGGGGGTCACTGGGTCCCTGCCCTGAGAGCAGTGCAGGGAATCAACTGCACTCATAAAGAAATCACCAGAGGCGGTCATTTGCATCTGCACGCTCAATCGCAACTAAAGTGGAGACGACTCGTGCCTGCTCCTGTCAGCGCCATCACAATTCATATCAGATATGCTTTTAATTTTTTATATGGCAATTATGGAGAACTGGACCTCCATGGCTTTGTCTAATTTCCCAAGACTTGGGGATGTGAAAATCATATGGCCCTTTTATGGCGTAAAAATGACAGAGCTTTCGATTCTTCTTTTATGGCTCCAGGGAAAACCTCAAAATGTTATGAAAGTGCTGTTTCATAAAAAGTTATCTCGCCTCTTTTCCAAGTCTTTCAGGAGTTCATAAAAATCTTTACACATTATTACAGAACTACTTCTGACAATGAATAATGTAGCTAACTGATGGCTCGAAGGTCAAACAGCCTCAAAAAGAGCTAAAATTACATTTGTTCATGCTTTTGATCGTGCACACTGGAATATTTGGTATGAATGAAAATGAAACGCTATTCTACAACTGCAATCATTTCCACTCACACAAATGAAAAAAAAACAGCCCTCATAACCGCCTTGTTACGTGATATACAAGGTGAATACATTTAGAGATGTGCCTGCCACAGTGTCAGCACAGTTGCAGTACTTTTCTGAATAGCAAGCATCAAAACTTTTTATTAGTATTGTTTTGGTGCCAAAAATCCAGTATTGTACTCATACCAGTCACAAAACATCTCAAGCAATACCCCGGTCCTAGCTGAATACAAGTGTCATCTCTTCAACAAAAAAATAAAAATGTCTTGGGAAAACAAAAACAACAATATTCAAACATCCGGCATGCTGGTTTGCATTTTAAGGCTGCATATCCTTCACAAACAACCTACTGTAGGTTATACATTGAGAAAAATGCTTCTTCAAATTACTAATATGAAATAATTAGGGCTTCGCAATATGGTAAAAACATCATATTGCGATTATTTTGACACATGCTGCGATTGCGATATGATTCACGATTAGTGTGCATCACAAATGTAATTTTCACTGAAAACAATATAAAGTCATGACGATGTGATCATTTTTGGGGTTGTATGTATCAAACAAACATGTTTTATTAAATCTGGAGAACAAGACATGTAGTCTATGGCATCTCTTCAGAAGTACATACATATTTATTTAGAAAACAAATTGCAGCTTCTGCGATTTGCATATTGCACTTCGCCATAACAACAAACACCTTTGCATGGATTTGGAGCAGCTCTATCGTCTACAGTTCTATGTCACAACACTGCCTACTCTCCCTGGAGGCTCATTGTGATAAGTGGTCACTTTAATAGTAAAGAAAGGGGACTGTTTACCTGTTCCAGGAGTTTTCTGTACCTCTGCGTGGCTTGCTGGATGAGGTCCCTGACAGTCCACCCATCCTTGCAGGGCACCACCACACCTGTCTGCCCAAACGTCACAGTCACCTTCATTATAGCACTCTCATCCAAGACGCAGGGGCCCTCTGAGTGCGGCTGATGATGAACAATGGTAATGATAATGCTCTAAACAGCACAATGACCACCACAAAGTCTTGATAAAACAGGCAGAGATGTGTCCAAACAGATATGGCAACAACAACAACAACAACAACAACAACAAAAGGTGAGAGAAGTTGTTTGGGATTAAAAGCACAGCTTGTCAAAGTGGCCCAGTCCACAGAGCTCCTTATTCAGACTGTCAAATGTGAGAATAATGATTTGAGTAAGTATATCCAGCTCCGGCATTACTTTGCTCATGTTATGGTCGCCAAGGTTTATCACTTCCCCTTTTCTCTCATCTCTCCACGTAGCCTCCAATGGGTGTCGACACTAATGAAGTTGGTCCATGTATAAACTTCACTTTTTTAACAGAAACTGTTAAAGCACAGCTGCCTTTGCTGCCAGCTGTCATATATGTGTCATGTCATGTCTCAGTGAGAGTCAACGCAGCTCGGGTTAACTGGCTGTCTGTCGAGCTAACTTCCACTGGGCTAAAGAAAAAAAAACCAAACACAAAAGTTCACGCCAATGATGGAAGCGTTCAGTTGTTCGCCGCAAGCATGAGCTATCTTCATCGCCAGGTGCTTTGTTAACACTCGTTATGGCGGATGAAGTCAAAACAAGTGTTGTAACTTTCACCCCAGAGTTAGCGAGCGCTGCTAGCTATCGTTAGCCACCTTAGCTGAACTTTGGAGGGAGGGATGCAGTCGGCTCGGGCATCATCCCACAACTTTTTCCTCTCGCAAGTTTCCTTCTTCCGAGCGGTCTGTAGCATCCGTTTCATCACCGACGCGCACGGCGAGGCAGCGTAGCCGCTATTTGCGCATTCGTGGACGAGCCGAAGGGGGGATTAAACAGTAAAACAAAAGGACCACGGCGATGTGTGTTGGAAAAGTTTTTTTTTTTTTTTTTTGAGATTCCTTCACTGCCGTCCGCTCCTGACCAGTTCCTGACCAGCTCCTCCACCGCTTGGTACTGTCACTTTCTTAAAGGGGAAGTACTCCCTGCACTTACTGCTGGGGTGAAAGAGTGATATGAGGTTGTGCACACTCTCAGTTACACTACTGCTGCTCAAACAGCAAGGAGGTGATGTGCAGGGACAAACACAATCACTGGTGAAAAGTGGCAGTGATCTGAATTCATCTGCTGGGAAAGTGCTGCTCCTGCACTGATGGAGAACAAACTTTATTTTATTAGTAATCTACTGCATAGTGATTGAAGAAGTATTGAGATATTTTATATAACATATAATATGGTATTTATATATTATATAATATAACAGTAGGCCTACAGGTATTATCAAGTAAATTTAGGGGCAAATAAGAAGTATACAGGTAAAAGTAGCCTCTGTCTTTGTTACATTAACATGTATTTTTATTATTGATGCAGTAATATGCATTTTAATGTTGTAGCTGGCTGCAATAGAGCTACTTTTATTTAGTTTATTATACTGTTGGGTGGTTTAATATACTGTATTAAAATATATGTTTAAAAAATATGTTCATCAGAATCAGAATAAGAAATACT